TATTAATACCTGTTTATTTAAACTACATATTAAATATCACACTTCATATAATATAAACTGCTACAATAATTTTTAACATAATACTGAGTTTTTCTATCTGTAATTAATTAACAATAGATTTGTATATTTGAAAAATGAAAGAAAAATGAATTATGTGTTTATCAATCGTACTTGCCTTTGATGAGCCACGCAGATTTGAAAACAGTTAAGTTTACATTATATTTAAATTTATCAAATCGGTTCTTTTACTCGTTCATTAAGCACAAAATACATTTTTCACTTATCTACAATAATTTATTAAATATTGCCATAGGACTATAGAAATTATGGATAAAAAGAAAATATCAAAATGAGTCGATTGTTGATACTTAACCTCTTTCTGAACTATGGTTTCCTTTATACAACCGTTAAGTAACAGTTGTCTGATTCGTGAACGATATATCTCTAGGACGGTTTCACTTTTCTAAAAATCAATTATTATTGTATTTTCTGAAATATAATCAGTACAGTGATTAAACAATAATGAATATAAGTGATTTAATCATTTTTGCTGAGTTATTGGATGATAATAACATCGTAGAAAGAAATGCTATGAGATATTTGACCAAATTACATGTACAACTGTGTTAATATAGAAAAAAATTGTATATTTAAAAAATTCTTGTAAAACACTTCAATAATTTAATAAAAACATTATTGGAGGAATGTATAAAAAATATCGGAAATTATGATGTAAAATAGAAACACAAAAATTATAGCACAATAGATGTATGCATTATAATACAAGAGATTTTCTTTTTGAAGATCTATCAAATATCAGCAACAATATTAGACAATTGATTATGCACATTGAATACTTATAGGTGGTGACACGATTATGAAATTATAAAAGCGCAGAATGCTTTGGAAGTTATTTACTGAAATTATTATACTTTATGTGATAACTACAAATATTTCTCTTGGTTCTTCTTATTTCAATCATAAGAATTATGAGTGTATATTAGCATCAAAAACTCCTTATAGATGTGTAGCTAATTATGATGATTCAGAACTGGAAAATTCAGGTACATTAAAATATTTTGTTATATTTTATCCATAAACTTATATTAATATATACTTATTGAAATTTGATTTGTAGATTGCGAGGAGAAAAAAATTTGGTTAATTCTGCGTCATGGGACACGATATCCAGGCAAGAAGTACATACCTCGTATGATAGATGAATTGCCACGATTGCAACATATAATATTAAAAAATTATGAAGACCATGCAATAAATCTCTCAGCTGATGTTGCAGCTTTCTTTAAGCAATGGAAATTACAAATTACTCAACGTGACGTGATGAAATTGGCACCAGAAGGGGAGAATGAAATGATTGATCTTGGAGAAAGATATCAGGCAAGATTCCCATCTCTGATGCCAGAAATGTATAGCAATCAAACCTACAAAGTATGTTTGATAAAATATTTGATATTGATATTATGTTACATATACATTTATTTTCTTTGATTATTAACTATTGAATAACTGTTTTTAGTTTAGATTTACTTCCACTCAACGTACAGAAGAGAGTGCAAGACATTTTGCTGTTGGTTTATTTGGTTGGCGTAATAGTAAAAATGTTCTGTATCCAGAACCAGTGTATCGAGATCGAGTGATAAGAGTAATCTTTATTATTTTTAAATTTACATAAAGCTATTTCTTTCAGCTCTTCTTATTATATTTTCTTAGATGATCATTTTAATATATTTTTAGTTTTACAAAGCTTGTCCTCGATGGCGCAAAGAAGTTGACAAGAATTTTAATTCAACACTAGAAAAGATAAAATTTTTGAACAGCACAATTGTAAGAGATATGTTAAATAATATTAAAAATCGTATTGGCTGCAATATCAATTATGGTTAGCATTGTTATCAAGTAAATTATATATGCATGTAAATATGTGCTGCTAATCACATTGAATATAACTGTTGTGTATTTCAGAAACTGCTCATTTGATGTATATAATGTGTGCCTTTGAAACTGCTTGGAACCATAGTACAGTATCTCCCTGGTGTCTAGTATTTTCATTAAATGATTTCAAGGTGAGATCTCTTAAAGTTAATAATACATTTTGTTTCTAGATGAAAAGATTCAATCGCATATTAAATTTATAAATTATAGGTCTTTGAATATGCGGAAGATCTAGAATTGTATTGGACTGATGGGTATGGCTACTCACTGACCTATGAACAAGCATGCCCTGCCTTAAAGGATATGTTTGACTTCTTTAAGTATGTTATTACAATACTAAGTGCAATTTATGCAATCATTAACATAATATGCTAAAAAATTATTATTTATTTTAGATCCAAGGATGGGGTAAAAACAACCGCTTATTTTACACATTCCGGAACAATTTTGAAATTATTGGCTTTACTTGGAGTAGCTAAAGATACGCATCCTTTAATGCATAATTCCTTGGTATTAGACAAAGAAGATAAAAGAGTATGGAGAACCAGTATGATTGATGCGTTTGCATCTAACATGGCATTCGTTTTATATGAGTACATTTCTATTTTTGAATCATAAAATTTTTAAATTATGTAATATATAGTTTCATATATAACTCTCTAATTATATTTTTTCTAGTTGTGCATCCTATGGACCAAGTATTCTATTCATGCTTCAGGAACGACCACTGTATTTGCCGGGCTGTCCAATAGGTATACCGTGTCCAATATCTATTATGAAAGAGATATATCCAGATCTTGACGAGGAATGCCAGTTTGACGTCATGTGTCACGTAAAACATGAAAACAAAAATTGACAATGCTTTTCGTAGATAAATTCTTTTATTTAGATAAATTTTGAATGAAAATATATAAAAATAATTTATTCTTTAAAACAATTTTCTTAAATATAGAAGTTTCACTGAAAAGTATTTTAACACACTTATTGATGAATGTAGAATCTATTTTTGAAAGATAAAAAAATATAGGTCAAATATGTAAAATAAACTAAAAATTTATTTTATAATAAATGAATAACTATTAATAAATATATAATTTAATTTTAATCGTCAAGTTTTTTATTTACATACACAACTATTATTTCTAAAATAAATAAAATATAGTAATTGTAAGGGATTTAGTTTCAAAACTCAATTTTAAATAGAATTTGGACCATTTCTCTATCCTATCTAAATTTTTTGATTTGTTTTAAAACTCGGAATAAAATTAAGAAAATAGCAGTTAAAAATCATTATTATAATTAATCATAATTATTAATTTCAAAAGTTATATTCAAAGAGGATTGAATTTAAAATTCAGTAATATTTTCGCATTTTAGTACTCATGTTATTTGTTATGCTTTTATTTGACATTTAAATAAAGATATCTATTGCATTTTTTCACTTTTTTTTATTTATTTAACATTTAATTTATTATAAAATCACAAAAGTCAGGTATCAAGATTTTAAAACCGGGTAAATCTATTTTCAAAGTTCAAAGTACATTATATCTGATAATTAGTGAAATAATAATAATATTAAAAAATTATAATAAACTCTTACAAATATCCTACAGAATATAATTTATTTTAATGTTCTATTTCTTATTGTTCTTATTCTTATTAATTATCATTATAAATTTTTGCGTCAATCTAAATTAAAGAATCTTCCAATGAATTATTAATATCGTTTCGGTCGTCATCCATTGCTTCCTGCAATAAAATATGTCATTTTCATAGAATAATGATGCTATATGTTATCAAACAAATATACATATAAATGATATTTACCCGCAACACTTCAACAAGTGCTCTTGTCTCACTTAACATTTCTTTTTGTATACGGTTTTCTTCTTCTAATTTTTCAATACGTTGTGAAAGTATTTTATTTTCTTCTAAAGCATCCTTAAGTGCTACCCGTCGTCTTTCAGCCAAAACTTGCCAATAGTTTTCACTGGGACCAGCTAAATCTAATAAAATAAATTTTTTAGTAGAATTTTTATACTTTTTTCTATGCGTATTCTAGATTCAAGATAAAAAAAACACATAAATATAAAATAAGTAAAGATAAAAACATTGTTCTAAATGTACCTGTAGATGTTAAATCTTCAGGCTCAATTTTAACTTTTTCCTCCGGTGTGGTTTGAACAGCCTGATTTTTAGTTGTAATCTTTTGACTTTTAGACGTACCTTTTGTTTTTTTAGGCACATCTCTGAAATATACATAAATTTATTAGAATGTTTTTATATGATAAAAATTTTTTTAAGTAACTTACTTTTTTAATTTTGCTTCTTTAGTTTGTTCTGTAGATCTAACCATCCTATCAGCACCAACCAATATTTCTTTGTTAGTGGCTGATGGCTGCAGTTCGTGTAAAGATTTTCTAACTTTATCCTGTTTTAATAAAAGAGAAAAATTATACCATATATATATATATATATAGTATGTTCCATATATTTTGTTTACGACTAAATAAGTCATGACCTTTCACGTTTCAATAGTATCCTTTCAGAATACTATGTAGCAAATAATAATAATGAATTTTTCACGACTTGATGATTTTCTCTCAAAATGGTATAACGAAAAAGGCACAAAAATCGCGTTTTGCATAAGAAATAAATATACTAACCTCAGAATTGGTAACTGTTTTGGCGCCAGTAACTGTTTTCATTATACAGGCCGCAAAGAATAATTATAAGAAATCTAAAAAGGAAAATAACGTCTAACCGGTACAGTTTTGATGAATACGTTATTTTATATACACAGATAGTACAGCATTACATTTGGAATAATGCTTAGAGAAAGTTTAAAGTAACTAATGTTACTACTTTCTTTGATGGATACTCTCTTCGGAAACTCAAAAAGTTTATACCGTTCACATGACCAGCTGGACGGCGGGAATCATTAAGTCATAACAATCAAAATAAGGAAGACAAGCAACAAAGAGAAGAAAACTCTCGCGACAAATTTGTAAAAAGATGTCCACAACGCCGTTTAGTAATATCACCTATGATTGGTGCACATTTTTGGATTTACAATATACACCAATCACAGGCGATTATTACTCAACAGTTTTACAACAGTTGTGTTTTTTAAATATTGCCATTAGCTGCAGCGCTTCTATTGCTTTTCAGATTTTAAAATACACAATCTCTTTTTAAAATTTTATTAATTTACTATTAAGAATAATTGTTACAGAAAATATAAATACAAATTTGCTAAAATTCTGTACTTTAAATCTGGTTGACGACACATGAAAATGTGCTTAAGGTTGTCTGCCTGTGTGTGTTCATCGGTGATATTTGTAAACGTCAAGAAGAGCGTCGTGCAGCAATACATAGTGACAAATGAGGATTATATGATTTATTCTTTAATTATTGTAAAAGATGGTCCGCACCGACTGGGATCGGATATTATCCGTAAACGCTTCGTCCTTAACGGACGAAGAAATCGAAGATCTTTTTCCCACGGTGGTCCGATGCGATGTAAACGAGATTGCCGACATACATAGTCTACAAACACTTATGAGATTGTCACAAGAAATGTTGACTTACAAAGATAATCAAGTAAAGAAATGATTTTATATTATTATTATATTTACTTTAAACAATTGATACGTTAATTGTTAATATTATATTTATTATATACTGTAACGTTTACTTCAGTTTTATATTTTTTTAAATTTTACTACAAAACGAGTTTAAACAAAGAAGTATATCTTATACAGAAGCATAAACTTTTTCCATTATTACATTGCACGTAAAATGAATGTATTTATGTTAGGTTGAGGCCTTACTTCTTGAGTGTGGCGAATTGAAGGAAACAATAACTTCATTACGTCCAGAAGCTGCCAAACGGAAGACCAAAGGTAGTGTAATGTTAAATCCATCTTTGTATGTTAGTTTTGACTTGAAATTATTTTTTAAATAATATCTGAAAGTTATAATGTGGAGTTAAACATTTGTATAATCTATAAAATTTATATTTTTAAATATATTTATATTAGATTTATCTTTATAGATCATAGTATATCTGCAACAAAACAAGAAGGTGATGGTTTTACCAAAGTAAGTCTTTATTATTTGTAGGATGTTAATAAAATATTTAACACTTTATATAATAATTCAATTTTATGTAAAGGATACAAATATAAGAGAATATGCTCCTCATTCAGGGACACAAGAGAAAAATGAGAAAGTTAAGACACTTATGATTGAACTACAGGTTAATATATATATATAATAAAACATTACTGTTTTTTTTCTTTGTTACTTATCTTTGTTTTTTAGGGTTTGGACAAAGAAAATGAGAATCTTAAAGAACGATTAACAACATTGAAGGATGAAATGGAAGATGCGACAGAAAAAATGAATGAAATGACTGAGGAACTTTGTTCAACACAAATAAAAGCTGTGGAATACAAAGGTGCCTATGCCAGTAATATATATATTTTTGATATTATATATTTGATATGCTTCGAATAAAAATAAGTATTATTCCATTATAGACAAAGTATTGGGATTAGAGCAAGAAAATGCAGCTTTGGTTAATCAGATTGAAGAGATAACAACACAGCAAATAGATAGAGACAGAATATTAGATGAATTTGGTATAGCTATCGATGCTAGAATATCTGAATGGAAGGTATTAAGTAAATTTAGTAAAATATTTATATTAGAAAATACGAAAAGCATTTGTAAAATTTACATTTATTTATAAGGGTATATTGGATGAAAAAGATACGGAAATCGCGCGTTTGAAGGAAAATTTATCACAATCCTTAATGAAATCTGTTACATCTGTCAAAGAAGAAAATAAATCTCAGATTATATATTTAAATGATGAAATAATGCAACGAGATACGATTATAGATGAATTGCAAACTAAACTATCTGAAGCTGTTGTTGAAATAAATAAGAGTGCTGCACTTATCGAAAAATTAAGAGGAGAAGCACAAGAGTGAGATACTTTTTATGTAAACTTCTAATTTCATAGTGTGTAATTTTTAATCATTCCGAAATTATTGATTATTTGATTTGTTTTATAGGTCTGTAAGAAGTGACAAACAGAAAGAACAAAAAAGTTTGATGAAAAAAGTACGAAGTGCAAATGAAAAGATCTCTAATTTAGAAAATGCATTATCCCAAGCACAGGATGATGCCAAGTCGCAGAGTAGTAAGGTTAGATATTCATATTTTCATTTCTGATTTATAAAGAATATGTCTATTAAATACCGAATTTAACAAATTTGTATATCCAGTTGTGCGAGGTACTAACTACATTAAAAAAATACGAAGATGGAAATGAAGCTTTAGCTAAAGCATTGAACGAAATTAAAGAATTAAAAATCAAAATAGATCACAAAAATGAACATATTGAAGATTTAGTCAATGTTGTTAATAAATTGGAGATGTTAAATTCATATCAAGAAATGGAAATCTTAACTCTTAGGTAAAATTTTCGAAATATTTAATTAATTTATAACGCATGTGAAGAAAGCAAACATGATATTATTTTTTTATATTGTAACAGAGAAAAGTTAGGAATTCCAGAAGATGAATCAATATCGATTAAAAGTATTATAGCAAAACGTAAAGAGGAATCAAGAAAAATGCAAGAATTTATTCAGCAAAATAAAAATCTTGCAGAAGAAAATTTAGAATTAAAATCAGATGTAAGATAATTTATAAAAATTTATATTACCTATGCGTGTGTGTATGTGTATAACACATATAGAGAAAAATGTTTATTACAAATTTTTATTTTGTAGATAAGGATGTTAAAATACAAATTGAGCAAGTCTGAGAAGATATTAGATATTTCAGATAATTTAGGTGATTCTAGTCATCAGTTTTTACATTCAACTAAATTAATCGAACCAGAAAATAAGGAAGTATGTCACAAAACTGAAATTAATCAATCTGAAATCAATCAAAATATTCAGATACTTATTGAAGAAAACGAGGCACTTAGAACAGGCATGCATGAGATTATGGACAGTATACACAATCAAGATGGTGAATTTTCGCTAACTTTAACGGTACTTTAGTGTTGCACACATTTCCATTTCTTCGACACCTTAAAAATTTTTTGTTTTGTTTTGTTTTGTTCTTTTTTACTTTCTATTCTATAATATACAAAATGTTGGTAATTCATCTAAATCTGTTTGATTTCTCACATTACTTTGTTTCAACGAAATTTGAAACATTACTATTCTTAATATCTTGCTTTAGAAAATAAGTTTTTAATATTTTTATGTTTTTTTGTCTAGGTAAGAGCGAGGTGGAAATTCAATCTGATACACTGGAACGATTATTAGAAGCTTTAGATGTCAGACATTTAGCTGGTTGGTATCATCCAGCTATGAGATTACAGGAACATCTTAATGTTGTGCAAGGTAGCAATGCTGAGTTAAGAACACAGCTAAAATTACTAAGGTATTTTATGAAGTTCATTTTTTAAATCCTGTGTTATTATCGTGTTACAAATAATTAAACAATTATAATTAATAAATTATTATATGTTTTATAGAAAAGAATTGCAGAAGAAAGACAATGTATTACAAGGTTTAGCAATGAATAAAAATATAGATTTTGAAAAATTATACGAGAACCATGATGACGATGAAGCTATGACAATGTATCTTACAGAAATGAAAGCTTTACAAACGGCATATAAAAATGAAGCAGAGGAGTGGGAAAAGCAGAAAGATTCATTGATTCAGGAAAATAATGAATTGAAAGATGAAATAAATGGTTTTACGAAGCAGTTAGAAATTTATAAGAGAAATTGGCAGATTATAGAAGATGGAAATGACGAAGTTCAGAAAACATTTGCGATAAAAACGAGAGAATACGCGGATGCTGCTAACGAAATAATCGTTATGAATAGAAAAAATGCCAATCTTCAACATTTACTCAACAAAGAAACTAATAGGTCATATAATTATCAAAAAGAAGTAATTAAAAAAGAGAGCGATCTTAACAGAGCTCTTACTGATGCGAACCAATACAGTAAATCGTTGCTGTCAGAAATTTCACTTTTGCAGAGTAATTTATATAATTCTGTAAGCTTAACAGTATATAACGAATTGAAAGAGAAATATGAAGAACTGAATATACGTCATCATGCATTATTGGAATCTGCAATGATATGTCCTGATTACAGTGAAATATTATCTTTGAAAGCCGAAATAGAAGTAATAAGACAAGAAAAATACCAACTCTTGGAAGATTTACAAAAAGTAAATAATCGCGATGATAATTTGCAAGAAAGATTAAAAATAATAGAAGCCAAGGAACTCATTGAAAGGCAGCGAGCTGATCAGATGGCTAGATTACACGAAATATCACAAACACAGTTAACAAAGTGTGAAGATAACATTAAACAACTTTCCGTTTCCAATTCTGAACTGCAGGAGAAATCGATTGAACTACACAAAAAGTTGTCTAAGGAACTTGCATTGCAGGAAACTACGCAAATAGATGATAACCGTTTACAGAAATTACAAAATGACAAAGCGCAACTTACCATAGAAAACGAAAGTTTGAAAAAAATGCTAAAAATTTCAGAAGAGGAAGCTCGATTGCAATACTCACTGAATTCATTACAAACATTAGAATTGGATAGTCTTAGGCATCAGATATTAGATTTACAAGCTGTAAGTGAAGACAAAGCCACTATTTCGAGACTTGATTTTGAGCTTACAAGTAAAAAGATGTCAGAAATGGAACTAACTGCACAGAAAACGCAACTACAGAATGAGCTATCTTTTATGCAACAAGAATTGGATAACTCAAGGAAGAAATGTGAAGAAATGCGCATTTTCATGCAAGATTATCGGAAACAATGTGACAATCGTTGCAAGTAAGATTAAAACTTACATTTAGATATTATTTTACATATAAAAAATATATTGCAATGTTGTATATGTTACAGGTATTATCTAGATATTATATATTTTTTACAATGCCAATATGTGGGATCAACTTCTATAAGCACTTTAGAAAAAATAATTGTGCTTGCTGCAAAATTAAAAACAAATCGTCAAAGTATTGAATCGGAGATGCAGAAAACAAAAAAATGTCATGAAGATATTAAACATGAACATCAACTTTTATCTGCTCGACTTGAGATTGTTGAACGTTTGAAAGATATATTAGAACAACAAATTGGCGCTGGTAGCGTTCAGAACGTAATGGAACATTTTGCCGAAATTTCACAGCAAACTCTAAGTGTAAGTTTATGTATGTGAAAATTTATTATTAAAACATTTTTTATTTTTAAATAATCGCATTTATTAATGTGTTTTAATTACAAAACTCAATTTTTGATAAATTTATATCTTATTTAATAATGATTTTAAAAAAAACCATAATTCATGTTGTTTTGAAATTTGTTTTATATAATAAAAGTTTCTTTTTATTAGGATTTCAAGTACAAGCGAAGAATAGCTCACTTGGAACATGAACTTCAAATTGCTAATAGTAAATTCAATGAATATGAGACAGTAATAACAAACATGGAGCAGGACATGGTAAATATTCAGAGAGCTTGGTATCCACAACAACAAGATCACCAGCCGCGAATTAATACATCAAATTTGGAGACAAAGTCAATTCAAGCAACAATAGAAACTCAAATTATCAGTATACAAACAGATCCCTATACTTGTTGCTTGGATGAAAAAGCAGAAGATACGACTAAGAAAACCGAAGCTGTTGAAGATACCCAAAAGTCTATTGAACCGAGTGAAAGCATGAAAAAGACATTCCAAGAAGTGGGAAGTAACACAGAAGAGAGCGGCAGTTCGATAATTCTTAATGAACAAATGGATCAAACGCTAAAACTCACATCGGAACGTTCCGCGATACTCGTAAAACTTGAATCGCAATTAACGGAATATAAAGCAAAAGTGGACGCTCTGAACAAAACGATAGCGGAAAAAGATTCGCAATATCAAGCAAAAGTGGACATTCTTAACAAAGCGATTGAGGAAAGAGACTCACAATATCAGGAAAAAATGGACACTCTGAACAAAGCAATTGAAGAAAAAGAATCCCATCTTACCCAAAAACAAAATATACTCGACGAATTAATGATCCAACCACATGTTACAAATACTGATTGTACCGACAAGCTGGCTTTAAAATCGACAATAAATAGTTTACAGAAATTAATTAATCAAAAAGAGGAGACTATCTCGAGATATCAGAATTTATTGAAAGAAGACAGGGACGAACATAGTCGGGCAGCGAGTCGTTTTCAAGATGAGATCAAGAGTTTGCACGACCGCATTTTAGCTATGCAAGGTGAAAGAAAAAAAACTGAAGAATCTGTAACTGCAAAGAATGTTTTCGAAAAGATGTCAGCAGACGATGAAGCCACGTCGAAGATGTCGAGAAATAATGCCGCGCAAGAAGAAGAAATTGCAAGGCTACGTGAAAAGGTGTCTACCTTTGAAGCAGAATTAAATATCAGCAAGGAATTAAGCGAACGTTGGCACCGATTAGCAGAAGAAAGATTGAAATATATGGATCGTATGAGGGAAAGGTTCGATAATAATATAATATTACTTAATAAACTCAATTAAATTCTCAATATTAATATGCATAACGTAGTAGAGCATGGATTTTAGCATGATATAGATTTTATAAAATACAAATAATTCATGTTTTTTTAGATTAGAGCAACAACATAAAAATGAATTGGAGAGTTATCGTGGTGAATTAAATAAGTGGCAATCCGAGGCCGAAACACTCAGACAACAGTTGTCTGAGAATCGCATGTTAATTACAAAAGGAAATATTTCCTTGATGAAAGAGCTACAAGAGAAAGATGACAAAATACACGAACTAACTATTGCTTGTCAACAATTACAGGTGTGTTATAGTTTTATTAATTCGCTGAATAATACAATCTATATATTATTCTTTTATTGCACAGAATGAAGTTGAATTAATAGAATCTGTAAATCAACCCCAACAAATCACAATTCACAGTCGGGTTGATGCAAAAACGAGCGAAACGATACATAATCGCGATCAAATGCAACAACAAAATCAAACAGATCTTTTGCGCCGGCAGCTTCAGTCTCTAATGCAAAAGGAGAAAATGTATAAGTATGAAATAACTGATCTAAAACAGCAACTCAGTCGCAGGTAAATTCATATACTAATTTTTGAGCAAATAGTTTAGATTTTTTTTTAATCAATTTTATTCTGTATTTTTAAAAGTTGCAAAATATGCATTAAAGATATTTGATCTACTTTAGATACATGGCGATAAAGTCTCAGGAGAAGAAAACATCGCAACGTGAAGCACAACTTGAACGCAAAGTAACATCTTTAGAAGAAGAGTTGCATAAAGCGAAGACTCAATTAGATCGAGAATATTTGGCGCAAGAAGTTAAAAAAGCTAAAGTATGTAATAGAATTTGCTGTTTTATATTACTATTTTATATTACTGTGTTTAATACATTCCTCTTTTAATACAGACTGCGGAAGAACTTTCATTGTGGGAAAAACAGAAGAAATGGCAACAGACAGCAGAAAAGTTGAAAGAAAAATTTAAGGAAAAGACTGATGAATATGAAAAATTGCTTGCAAATTATGAAAAACTTCGATCTGTCGTTTCATGTATGGAACGAGAAAAATGGTATTTAAGAAGCAAGCTCAAACTTGAAAGTGAAAGTATTGTCTCTAGCAGTTCAACGGCAAGACCTATTGCAAATATTCAGCATTATAGAGAAGAAGAACTAGAAAAAGAATGTCGAATATTGAAAGAACGTGTTAAGGAATTAACTAATCGCTTAGAAAAAGAAAGTAATGAACATTTAATGTTAGAGATAGCAGAATTAAAACGGCATAATGCGGCTTTGGAAGCAGTTTCGCAGGTTGGCATATTCTTTACATTAGAACTTTTATAATGGCTGTGTGATTTTTATTCTGACTATGATATTTTCAGGGTAATTCATCTGTAATTAGTCAGCTTGAAAAATTAGAAATGACCAAAGATGTTCTTGAAAAGATGAATCTGAAGTTAGAAAGTGAAAACTTTGAGTTACGACTGGAATTAGAAAAGGCAAATTCTGATACTCCAAGATTGCGAGAAAAAATTGAACATCTAGAAAAGTACGTTTACAATACATATTTTTATATATTATAAGAATTAGTATATAGATAATAGTATTAAAAATATAATATAATTTTATATTATTATTACAGATACATAAAATTATTAAAAGCAGAAAAATCTTCTGATTCTACTCCTAGATCGTCAGATAAAGAATTACCAGAATCAAGCACTAAAAAATCTATCTTTGAAATGGAGAAAACAATATTTACATTGAAGCGGATTATCGAGAAACTTCAGGCAGAGAATAAACGACTGAAATTGAATTCTAAGAAAAATAACTTTATAGTCAATCAAGTAAATTAATTTTTTCTTTGATGTTATATATATTTTTCTTATCATGCATTACTATATACATTATATATCACTTTTTTAATATAGAGAAAAACAAATGTCATTGAAGGAGACATTTTACTTAGACAATATGAAGAGTCTCAGAAGCGTGTGATAAGTTTGGAATCGGATTTACAATTGGCTGAGCAGAGAATAGTTGTATTAGAGCAAGCTCATAAAGAAGATGACAATGGAGATTTCCAAATATTAAAACAACAGTTAATTCATAAATCCAAACTTCTAGAGAAAGTAAAACAGTTAATGACACGAGCAGCCATCAATGAAAAGGCCCTGCGACAACGTGTAAGAATTTAAATAATAATCTAGAAGATAAATTCAAATAAATTATTTATATATTTTGTTATTATTAGGTGCAGCAGTTGGAATTGAAGCAATCTCTATCAACAATTCCAGAATGTTATGTAACTCCACCTACACCAGAATAATAGATAGATAGCTTGACAATAAGCCATTTTGTGGAAGAAATGCACTTTTATATTTATATATATATATTTACAATAATAAAAATCAATAGAATTATACACATCAGAAGATGTATTGTTTGCATACATTGAAGATTGGATTTTTATATACATTTCTTAGGTGTTTTGGTGTTTTATGTTTAATATTGTTTCAAATATTCAAAAAAATGTGTTCAAAATATTACATAGTTTATTTAAATATTTAGAATTAATAAATAATAAATAATAAACAAGATTTTTTATTTTATTTCCTGTGCATTTAAATAAGATTTTAATATTTTTAATATTGCAGATTATATTAAATAAATTAATTTACTATTTTAACTATTTGTAATATTTATTACAATATATATCTCAAGTATTATTTTTACTAATTAACTAATTACAGTTACTAATATGATTAATTTATAATTTTAACTTTTTATGTTTCAAACTGAAGTTAATCATAAAACGCGCCACGGGGAGCAATGGCAGAAATACATAGAAGCTATTCCGTGCTTGTCGCGACTTTTATCGCCAAAAAACTATATTGTATGCAAAAAGTTGTTGCAAATATCTCTTGTAAAATGTCGGAAATTTGTAGTAACGTATTACATATCGGATATAATCGTTATTGTGATTTTAGTATCGACAATTCACTTCTATATGCTAACGACATCGATCGTCGCATAAATCAGGTTATATTAGGTCTTGCCGAAATACATCAAAAGAGCAGCGAATGCATAATTATTACAAGGTATATATGTGTCTTTTATTCTACAATTAATTGAGCCAGTTATATTATCATAACAATTTGCTATTTCAACTATTTATAATATGAAAATATTTCGAATATCATTTTTATGTGGTAATTAATGTGAAGTTAGCTATTGTATATTATTGTAACCGTTTGGATACTTCCAGAATTTCAATTACATTTCAAACCGAAGACACAGTGCACGTCGCGGCAATCTGTGGCAAAGTCGCATTCAACTTTGTATTTCTCGCGATTATTGTTTAAAAAAGCATTATGCGCGAAAATTTATCGTGTCTGTTTATTTCAAAGTGCTAAATATTTATATAATTGATATTATTGCGATTCCAGTATCGGAGATTTGCATCTGTGCATCTCAAATCATCTTCGCATAAATTAGGTTATCTTTTTGCCGAAATGCAGTAAAAAAGCAATGAGTGCAATGATTATTATTAGGTATGTACATGTTTTTTTTCTATAGTTCGAAGCCTCGGGAAAGTTCTCGGGAAGTTTCCTCTGAGGAAAGTTCTCAAAAATTTCGGGGAACTTTCCTTGGCTCAGAGGAAATTTCCCAAAAATTTCGGGAAAATTCTCAAACTTTCCGGGAACTTTCCCGGGGCTTTGAACTATACTTTTTTCTATAATAATTGTCGTCAATTGTACTTGTAATAATTTGCTATTTTGATTATTTATGATATTTATGATAATAATTTGAATGTTTTTTCTATGATTTTTACTATGAAACTTGCTACTTTCGGCACTTCGAAAAGTGCAATATCATTTTTCTGTAAATTATAACATTTTAGAACATACCGCGATAACGCGGGAAACAGTGTTATCATTTTTTGTCCGGGAGAGAGCGCTTTGCGCAGCACATAAACACCATCTGTCGATTTTTGCGTGCAAACTCTAAACAAAAAGTAATAATACTGCGCGAAAGTCGCATTCAAACCGTTTCACGTTTCTCGTGATAATTGTTGTTTAAAAGTGCTCTGTATACGAAAATTTATCGTAACTGTTTCTCGTTAAGTGTTCAACATTTGCTGTACCACTTCTGTGTGTGATTATTATTATTGCGATTTCAGTATCAGTGACTCGCGTTTGTGCGCCCGAAAATCATCGCCCGAATTTCTTCGTACAAATGAAGTTATCTTGTCGTCTGAAAGACAATGGAAAAGCATCAAGTGTATGATTATTATCAGGTATGTATATGCTTTTTTCTACAATTAACTGTGCCAATTGTACTTATAATAATTTGCTATTTCAACTATTTCTGAAATTTACGACAATATTTCGAATATTTTATGAAATTTGCTGCTTTCGGCACTTCAAAAAGTGCAATATTATTTTTCTAGAAATAGTAACAGTTCTAGAAGCGCCACGGTGATGCATTCAAACTGCTCCATTTTTTTCGTGATTGTTTAAAAAAACATTGCACACGAAAAATTATCTTCAGCATCTCTTGTAAAAGGTCGAAACTTGCAGTATTGCTTTAAATATCTCGTTCAATCGTTATTGTTGGCGATTAGATTCTATATATTAGTAGTGTTGTTCTGAAATTCTGTTAGCACACATCATGTTATTTCTTGATTAAATATATAGAGAGTGCAGCGGCTGCATGATTAATGATAAGTATCTACTTTATAATATTTTTAATTGTATTTTTTCGCAGTAATTACTGCAAAGTTTGTTGCTTTGATCATTTTGGCACAATATTTTTTTGAACCTTTAATTTGAGGTTACAGAACACATCATTGCAGTCATATTTAAATCTTTTCATATTTATCTCGATTGTTAGCATTCAAAAGAATATTGCTTACGAAGTATAATAATGACATCTCTTAAAATGTCAGCAGTTTGCAATAACGTGTTAAATGTTGCAAGTAATTTTCGTTATTATTGCGATTTTAATCGCCAACTAAATAGATCAGAATTGATTTCTTATATTTTACGTTTTTTTGTTGCAATGCATCTATAAATACAATTGATTATTTTTTTTTATTATCGTTAGATATTATTATTCTATATTTATTATCGATATTGTCATCCCAGTAAGCAAACGGTTAGCAATGTTAGCAGTTACAGCAAATTTTGGTAAAATTTTATTTAGTTTACTGTTTGTGCCAACATTGCTAATATTTAACTATCTGGGATACTACATTCATTGATATTTTATTCTTAATATTGCATTCTTAACATTAAAAATATTATTTGCTAATAACTTTTATTTAATAAGTAGAACAAAAATAAATTTCACAATTTTTTTAAGCAATAAAGAAGTTTTTTTTAAATAATGCTTTATTTGATAATTTAATGTGTTTCTTTATCAGCTGACAATTTGAAAAAGTAAAAAATGTCTTAAGTCTTTAGTAGAGTATGTCACTAGTAGTGTATAATGGCTAAAATTTGGTTGAAAAAATTATACATTTTTTTGCATTGCGTATGATTTATTAAGCAGATCCGCTTTCTTATTTTAAATTATAATATATTTGTTTAGATGATACTTAAAATAAATTATAATATTTTATAATTATACACTAAATAAATACTTACAATATATACTAATTAATTATATATTAACTAAATATATATATACTAACAATTTAAAATTAATTAATCAAATATTCAAAATTAGTTAATTGATATTTTTTTTACAATTATTTTGTTTATCACATTGCAAGTAATTTACAGATTGATAATGCAAAAGAGTCAAAGACTTTTGTTTTAGAATTTATTGAAATTTTTATAAATCTAAATTATATTTAGTTATAATCTTTTTCTTAAAGATATAAAAAATTACGAAATAGTGAAAATCTGCACACACATTACTACTTATTATAACTATCTATAAAAATTCTAACGCATGGCAAAAATAATTTACATTTGTAATTCATATTTTTCTACTATGCACAATCGCGTGTGATTAACATTATGATGCGAAAGAGAGAGCCGAAAAGCTTCGATAGATTCTGTGAGGATTAATAATCGTTCTCGGGCGTTTGAAGGAAGGGACGAATCGAGAACTCATCTTCACAGTCCGGAATGAGCTTACCCTTGTATTTCACACAGAAATCTGCGCACTTGGTGCCGATGAAAAAAGGGCCAAACATTTTTTTGCATTGCGCGCAATTTCGCATGCAAACACCTGTACAAAACCGATCCATACGAATTAAAGTAATATATAAATTCTATATTAAAATTTTAGATTAATTACGTTATTATAATATAGAAATTTATACTTACCAATATTTCGCTCGGCATCAGTCGTGGATGTCGTGAAGCAGAGAACGGCGAAAATAATAGCGAGTAGTATGATAATTCGGTTTGGCAAGTTCATGACTGAAATAGAAACATTAATCTTTTAGTTGAAAATATATCTAAATACACTTATATTTATCTCTACATATTGCTTCGATTAAATTATTTATATTTTGAATATAAATTTACGTAATGTGTTGATCATGATTGAAGTTTGCATAATAATTACGCAAACGTTTGCGTAATAATTACAAAACATTACAAAAATATAAAAAATAGTAATGATAACTACATATAGATGATAGAATAGAAAGTAAGCTTATATATAGCTATATCTTACAACATAGTATGACGTGAAATTAAAACTACATTATAAATTCTGCAAGAGAGCTGTTCTTAAGTCATTTGAATGCTAATCTATGATCTAAATAGGTCTTTGGTTAACGATTTAAATTATGTATTATTGAATTACAGTTGTAATGGTTGTAGTTTCTATAATGGCAAAGAAGAGATAGACATCTGACATTAGAGAACATATGTTAGACAAGAAAGATATCTTTAATCTTTCAAGAGCATAGTTTTTAAAAGGATTACATGACTCATCCTTATTAATATTTAACATATTTATTTTATTTACTATTATTTTTTTACTTGTTGCAGTTAATGATTAAGATTTTAATTTGCAAAAGTTAAAGGAAGTGAGTTTATTCTTTCAGCTTTTGGCGGAAATCAAGGAATTTTCTATCCGTGTAGCAACCGTGGATTAAAGCTCATTTGCATACCGCGAGAAAAGTTACTCTAAAAGCGCGAAAAATGTTCTCTCCGCCACTCACACACTGTTTTATATTTCCAGTTTGCAATTAGCATTTATTCGAAATGAAGGACAGAGAGGGAGACGGCCGGAGTCGAATTCGATGAACTTTCAGGGATAACTCGTGTATTAACAATTCTCTCTCGCTCTCTCGCTCTCCTTTTCTCTCGCTCGCTCGCTCACTCACTCACTCTTTCGCTCGATTAATAAAAAACAAAAAGCCCACTAAGCACATGTGCTCACATACCGTATGCGATGCGATACGTCTTATTAGTCACGAAGCTGTGCGCCGTCGGCATGCGAAAACCTGAATGCGGTAGTATCGGGTGGCGTGGTACGATTATTTCTTTGTAATTGAAAACAGTAGTGTACAGCCGTGCTGTCTGCCACGATGCGTCGTCGATATCGCTGCCGAAGGTTTCCCGCCAGGTTTTCTTCATGCCTCGTGCCCGCGAGAGGAGCGCCTCGTCGCGCCTCTGGTCACTTTTTTATATATGTATACAGTCATTTATAACCGGAATCTCCTTAGTGTGCTTCCGCATTCGCCTTAACGGCCACATTGTGAGCACATAAACATAATAAATATGGATGGTAGATATCTTGGCTATCTGTTCTGTCGTCGCGAGAGCTCTATCTTTCTTTTTCTCTCTCTGTCTTTTTTCCGCTCTGTCTCCCCTTCTTTTCTCACCGTCCAGGAAGCACTTAAGGATTCAAGACCAAATTGCGCGTTCGATATCGCACGTTGCACGAACAATAATGTTGATCGACTGGCGCAACCGATCGACTAACGACGCAATGAATCGCTTTAGAGGCTAGCGGAAAACAGATCAACAAATTTTAACGCAAAACATGCATTTTCTATTTTTTTTTTTTTTACTTGTCTACGTGGCGAAAACAGAGAGACATTTGCGCATTTCCAGAGAAACAATTTAAAGAAAACGATTTTTAAATATTTACCTGATTGGTACGGCAGCTTGAGAAGGCGAAGTTGTTGGAATTGTTAAAAGCCGACGAATGACACTGAACGAACTTCGCCGGTCTTATATATCCGCAAGTGCCGGATTCAACCCTCGCGCTAGGGAAACTCCCGCTGTTTGTCTTTCTTTAATTCGGTTTCTTCGATTTCCTGCACTCAACGCACTGAAATGTCCTGCGCGCTTTTATGTAAGAATTCCGTGTTGTGTATAGTTAACTAGAAATTTTTAGCTAGAAATATTGTTAAACAATATATTTTATTTTTTTTATATGCATATTTGCTCCTCTTTGTAATTATATGTAATTATATCTTTACAATTTATTGTGAAGTTTTATACTTACAATCAGTCTTTTTTCAGAAGGATTAAAGCTTTATTTAATTTTTATTACAATTAATTTGAACAGGAGTAGACATTTTTTATAAAAGATACTATTTTTTTATGTACATTTTTTTTACAAACTTGATTTGAAATGTTATGTATTATGAATTAATTTGTTGTCACATTAAATTTATTTTGTCGTAACTTTATATCAATGAATGCTATACAAATTTTTAATATTTTTATTACTTTTTTAAAAATATATCTACTACTTATTTCTATATTTTAGCTTTGAATTCGATTCGAATGAATACAAATTGGCTACAGAGTGTATTGTTCATATTTAATTTCCAGTAATAATTGTGCGTCATAACAATATTTAATATTATAACAATAAAATAGATACCGTCGCGCAATAATTAATTTAATTATATAACATGATAATATCATGATAATATTACAATTAATTGCTTATTTTCTCTAAAGCTGAAAACACAAACATATAATAACAAGCATATAAAATTAATACAATATAACATGATACATAATTTAATATAATTTATGTCTTAAGCTTCCGATTCTTCTTTGGCCTTATTTTTCTTAGGTAATTCATATTTCAAGCTCCAAAAATTTTTATATCTGATTGGCGTCGTTTGACCTTCTTTGATCATTTTGTCGAGATTCTCGTCTAATCTGGAAAAACGATCTTTCTTGTCCAAGATTCTTGATAACGTATTATGAATCTCTTCTCTGTTCTTTGATTCTTCTCTTTGTCTGTCTTCTTCGGCCGTTGAATTCTCCCTTAATTGACGCAAAACATCTTCTGTAAAGTAACGAGATAAGAATTCTTTTTCCGTATCGACCATATCAGACGATTCTTTATCATTGTTCTTTCCGAAAATATGCTTAAGAAAATCTTTATCGTCAGAATAGTGATCCTCGCTGATTACTTCACTGTCTTTTGCTTCCTCCTTCGCATAAACGTCGGACTTCTTTTTCGCTTTATTTTTGCCATCAAACGCAGTTCCGTAGTTATCGTCGTAATCTTCATTTTTCACGGAATAATCGTAGGATTCTTTTGGATACGTAGCATACGGTTCGAACTCTTCAGATTCCTCAGAATAATCGGCATTTTTCTTACTCTCATATTTTGTGTTTTCTTTCTCAAATGCAGCTTGTATGCTTTTATATATAGGATTATCGTTAATAAAATCATCGAGATTAAATGGTTGTTTATATTCATTTACATTAAAATGAACGAAATCCGCGGTAGAGTTTTCGCGCTCCTCGGATAATGCAAGTTCTGCAGAATCTTCTTCTGCGAAATGTTCCACGTTATCGCTCGTGTCGTCCTCGGTGTTATTGTGCAATTTAATATTTTCAACATTACCAGTGCACTCGGCAGAATCCTCATTTTCTGTGCAACGTGAATGCGAGATGTCTGAATTCACTGAGATCTCTGACTCGTCATTTTCGGTATTTTGTATTTTAATCTCAGCAGACTTTGGAGGTTTCTGTTCAGGATCAACATAATCATTATCATCGTATTCTTTATTTTCTGCAGTCGAATTCTGGTCGCTTTTATCTAAACTTTCCTCCCGTTGATCGGAATAATCTGGCACCTCTACATAAGGTATGTTTGAAGGATCGTAAGCCGGAGTTGTGTCTGTCGAATAATTTTCTGCGTGTCTTGTTTGAACTTCCTTTTGCGAGGCATTATCATCGGTATACTCGTTTGATGAAGCAGTGGAATTTTCTTGCCGAGCGAAATACGGCGGTGGTGGCTCAGTGATTTCTTGTGATTTATCGCGCACTTTGTTAACATATTTCGTCAAATTATTTGAAGACGAATGATCGATTTTACTTTCAATTTTCTCAGGGAATTTATTTAAATCGTCCACTTCGGACGCGCTCGTGGTGCTCGCACGTGACAACGAGATCGAGTCATTATTGATTTTTACTACATTTGCTGTCGAAATCGCAGTCTCAGGTTTCCATTTAGTTTTATTTACAACATTCCAAAAGCCCGATATATAAGGATCGTTTTTAGATATTTCTTGCAAATCTGTCGTGTCCACGGTATTGGCTGTCGATTTTTCGTTGATCGCTTGTATCTGCTCGTCTTCCTTGGCTTTTTTCTCTTGCGTGCATAATTGAGTCGAAGTTGCCGCAAGAGTCTTATTTTTCGGAATATTCACATTTCGTTTAGAACGGGATTTTGCGTTGCCATATGTCGTCCGAGTTGCGTTGATTAAATCCCAGATGCGTTTGTAAAATTCTCGTTCTGGTTTAATATTGGGATTTACCGCTTGTAATTCATTTGTTCGCGATGGCGAAGAAGAAATTCCATCTTTATCAACGCATGTTGAATTGTCTTTTTCGGAATCATTTTTTAAAAAATTGTAATTGTAAATATCGGAATGAGGACGGGTACCATTAATGTATTCCCAAATACGTTTGTAAAATACAGTACTCGGTATTGTGGCGCTGCTTGCTGTTCTAAGATTATGATCAGCTGCGTGTTTTTTCGTTGGAAAAGGCTCTTTTCGTTGCTCGCGATAATAGCGTTTCGGATAACCAGATCTCTCATTCGAAGTAGAAGCTTTTTTCTCTCGAGAAAATCGTGAGTTCTTAGTTGCCATTGAATTTTTACCCGATGCGTAAGATGAACGTTTCGGGCGTTTCTTTCCAATTATTGTTTGGATATTTCTTGTTCCTTCCGGTATTTGCGTACTTCTTTGTCGTTTTTGTCGAACAGCCTCGATAATCGTTGTAATTTTAATGATTTCCATATCAGGAGACAAATTTATAGTATTTAGATTATTTGTAGAAGAGACTTTTGATGGCATATTTTGTTTATGTAGTGATTTCTTTTGCTGCAGCGGCATGTCTAGTCGTCGTGCGAATTTTTTCCATCCAGTAAAATGTGAAAAGATCCAAGGTTTGCTCGGTTTCTTTTTTAAATTAGTTTTTATGTTTTTCTTCATAGACAAAGCTTTTGCTTTATGATTAAGTATATTCGTTGCAATATAGGATTAATGTCTGATGCAGCTTGCGCAGCTTTTTTAATTATGGTATCCTGAAAATAATTTAGTTATTATTAGCGTCAATAAATAAATATCGTAACTTCTGTTATGTACAATGCGGTAATAATTTTATAATAGATAATACATAAAATTCTCGTATGTATATTTATTAGTCATAAACTAATGAATTAATTAAACTACTTAGAAATTTTGTGGAAAATTTTGACTATTTTGTTTAAAGTCGCTTATTAGCCTAAAAAATTTTGAAAATTGGCTATTATGATTACTAGAACTGGAAAATTAAATGTTTGAACACTTTATTTATCACAACATTAGTTTTTGCAAGGATATATTTCTAAAATATTATTTGTTATGTAATTTTATTGTGCAATTTTATTAGAAATAAAATATTTTATAAAGCTGTAGTAAAAAAATATATACTTACGTTTACGTTGCGTGAAAGCAATGTAAGCAGCAAATAAGTATCACGATTCCATACCTTGTATAATTCTTGCAATATCAAGCTATACTGGTGCTTTATTACTAACATATGGTGTCGTTATACAACGATACTAATTTCAACAGACTATTAACCGTGTAACATCTTTTATAATACAAACTTCTTTCTATCCACTTACGTGCATTTTCTGCAAATTGAGAGTGATACAGAAAAACAGGTAGAGGTCTATTAAATGGCACTCTTGTTAAAGTGACTTTATTTTATCGATTGTAATTATGTACAAAGTACAGTACAAAATAATAGCTACGTCGTTACAGTGGTACAGAAAGTGTACATTTTGATCCTAGATGTGTTTAATGCAAGAAATATCACCATCGTGCAAATTTCTGAGCCACTGCGTTTAAGTATTTACATTTTACTTATATAACAATACTTGAAGCAATAATTAATTGTCATACAAAATGTCATACAAAAATGTTATAACTTATGAATATACTCTGCAGTTCTACTGCTGAACAGATAAAAATTATATTTTATGCCACTTCGATTATATTAATTAAGCAAACACGTATATGCATTCATACTTTATAACGTTGCGTTAACGCGTGTAAAAAAAGAAGAGAGCTTTGTATATAAATCACGATATATAAATTACGTATATTAAAATTATTACTAATGCGTATGGACTAAAGCAACAGTAAAAAAAATTGATCATTTACTATAATCAACAAGCTCAGTTCGTTGTTACTAAAGTGCGATAGATATGCCGCGAAAAATTTTTAATTCTCATGTCCTACGACGAGTATGACATACTCTGTAAATATTGTCTTGTACTTTATTGTAGGTGAAAGTACTGCTGTGCGCAGTACACATCTCGCTTTACATAAAGATGTATCGATTCTTTCGTTTCGACGTTTATGATGCATCTTAGCGCAGCAATGATGTATAGGCGATAGACATTTTACGATCAGGCGTTTGTGTCCCTTACGGTGCACTGCGGTTACTTTCTCGTGAAGCCCAGATACGAAGCAATGCCATTAATATTCTCAAAGAAGATTCGGTAAGCTTGCTGTCTGTCGTAGTGCTCTGGATTCACTGAACGTTCCGGCGCGTCAAGCATTTGCTCCTTCACCCATCGCTATAGTACAATAGGTAATTGTAGGTAGATAGATATGTGCAATCGGCGGTGAAATGTGGAGTGGAATTGGGACGATACTTTATAATCACGCATATAAATAAACGCGATCATCTGATTCTGAGAAGCTATGTTCGAGCTATTAATGTTGGATGGGGATGAAAGTAGACTAGAAATGCAAGTTGATGCGAAGAAACAAGGGGATAATCGTGAATAAATAAAATCAGTTTCCGTATAATGAAAAATATAGCGTGAAAACGAAATGATTAACAGTGTTCAAAAATATAAAAAGAAAAAAATCGAGCGCTTCCGCGCTTACACCGGTTTGCATTTCCAGCAAATAAATAATCTGCATATTATATTAGGGTTCTTTTTAATGAGTGATGTGAATCGTATAAAAAAAACACACGCGAAATATAAAACAGAACGTTAAAAAGTTTTATTGCTCGAAATATTATTTAAAAGGATGGCACTTACAATATATATAATAGTATGCATCATTCTCGATAAGAAGTTTAGATTTCAACTTTTACAGAAATACACCATTTGCAATTGCAATCGAGAGCATAGTCAAATGATCGCGCTTTGCATTAAGCATGCTCGTAGATGGGGAATTTTTATATCTGATAATATAAATTTTTAATGCGAAAAGTTTAAAATACAGAAAAAATTATTTTTGGTGTGAATTAATCGAAAAATCAAAAAGTAGGTACTTATTCCACAAAATATTGGGAGGACTAGATATTAAGCATTGCTAAACACAGTGGTCTACGGTTGAGGAGATAATGGTAAACGATTATGTGTAAAGAATGACTGGACTTGATTGTAAATTGCTATGTACAAAGGGTGTATTGCAGTTACAGTTATGAATAATGTTTAATCGGATATTATCGTGATGTGTTGTCGCAAGTAAAATAGCGGATGGAGAGAAATTACTTTAAATGCATCGTAAAAAAGTTGTTCATATGAAAATTTGGATAATAACATATTAAACGCAATCTTATGGTCAGTGTAGGTGACGTGAAATATGTATGAGTTGAAGTGCGATGTAAATAATGTGCAGTGTACTTGTAAATGTTTCGGTATGTAAGTTACTATATTCAGTAAGCAAAATATTAGCAATAATGGCAAATTGACAGCAAATGTGATTAAAATCCAGAATTAAAAAATGTCAAATTTGCCGTTAATCTGCCAATATTGTTGACATTTGGCTATCTGGATATTTATTGATCTTTATTAAATAGAATGGCAATAGAAAATTTTGACGTTCGTACATGAGAGAAAATCCAATTGTAAATCTCTGCAATCATACGAAACAGCATTCAAACCGTAATGTTGTACACATTACAGCTATATACATATTACAGTCACAAATAACTTTCATACACAAAGAAAGATTAATGTCAAAATCGCAATTTGACACTTAAATAATATTTAATTTTGGATAATGAATTTCTAAATGTTACTCGTGGCATTTTGTACAGTGCACACGAAAGTATAATGCATGATATACTTCTAATATATGTATATACATTTTGTTGGCAAGAATTATTGTGAAAGCTGAAGATGTTCTGTGGTGTTGGTGAGGGTCCAGGGTCGATATTACGCATTCAGCTAATCAATCTATCGGTATTCTACAATTTAAATAGAAGTTTACTATCATAATGATGTAATTCCATCAAAATCTAGTTATCATCAAAAATGTTTGTGTATCAAAATTATAATCTATGAATTGAAATTACCGTCCGCCCGAAACGGCCGTTCGAGTATGATCGACACTGGTAAACTCTGTACTTCATCGTACTTGGTGATTTATTGATTCGCTCGGCTTAAGCATGATTTATTGAGTCTAACTATTTAATTATTCTACTTCAACACGTGCCTGGGGTGGTCTTGGATTAGAGTACCTAAGTGTTGGGACGTCTTGTGGCTCGTGACTCGGTTGGTTACGTGGTGGTGTTCGCCTAGCGGCACTCTGTTTATTTCTAAAGTGGTGGTAAACAGACCCTCTTTGTTTTTATTTCCCCAACCGCCCGTACTGGCCTGCTAGATTACTCACGTATTGTGCGGCGTGACTCGTCGCCGGGAAATCGGCCCATTTCGACAAGTCGATGCCGGGTAGAATACCGCTTCGACACGGGACTCGAGGATTTCTGTAACAATAATTAGAAAAATTAGATTCATAATTGTTTTTAGAAAACAGCATCTTAAATTAAAATATATTAGAATTGGTCAAAAATTGCTCTTACGAATAAATACAAATTTTAATAGCCTTTCATAAGATAGATATGAAATAAATTAAAGAATAATAATAAATAATAAATATGTTTATTAAATATAATTAATAATAATAATAATTACATATATAATAGTTTATATTGCTTATTTGGATCGAAAATAGATTGTATTTCTTTATAGCAAATGATATAAAGATACAATGCTTAAACGTGATTGCAAATATATTTTTTGTTTGATTACATTTGAATTAGAATATTTATTAATTGCTATTTTTTAATTTTTTGGTATTTTATTCTACAAATTGTTACTTATATATCGTATAAATCGTATCGACTTACATTTCGTGATCAGGAAGGACCATTGGATATATTTGTATCGTATCGATAAGATCGGTGTTATCGCAGATCACTCTGGCGAGCTTCGTCTTACGAATCTCGTTCAGTTGTTCTAGAAAAGTGAAAGCCAGCGCGTTTTTAGAAAGGATACCACTTCATTATTTCGATTCGAACGATTATCGAGTCCTTGGGTCGCGTGGCTGCCGATTCCCACGGATTCGAAAGGGTCTTACCGGGAGTGAAGGACGATGGCTGGTTCGGCAGCTCGTACCAGAATCTGTCACCGCGACGCGAATGACTGAACTGCGTTGCAATCAGACAAGCGAAGGTTGGCCCGAGCATACTACCCGGAAGTGGTCTCTCGGATACACCGCCCGACCATAAATCGACGTCCGCAGGATGTCTGAAAAGGAGCGTGGTCGAGATAAAGTTATATTTTTGAATATGCTATTTGAGAACTGCGTGCGATCGGTCCACTGATTGAATAATGAAATGCAAAATTTGATTGATTGACCTTTCGACACTCCGAAGGTTTCGCCGTTAATTTTGCGGACTTGCAATACTCACTCGAAGATAGTGCTGTATCGTCTGACAGTTTCATTCGGCATGGAACCGAATAATTCATCGAAAGTACTTGCTTCAGGAAGGCCGCAATACTTTCTGTAATTGTGAAATTAGAAAATTAACAATTTGCATTATTCATCTACATAGAATTAATTCCAATAATATTTATTAACGTTGACCATGGTTTGTTTTGCGTTCTCTTTTTTTTATATTAAATTAAGAGGACACTTGGTATATATTTGAACTCGCTCTACTAATTTTCCTGATTATCAGCAACAATTGTTTGATAATACTTACTATTAGTTTTATTATTAACTTTATTCCGTTTTATTTAGTCCAAATTTATTCGCACTTACTACGCAGCGAGGATTCTTATTACAGAACAGATATGGATTAACTAACTAGAGCTAGTTAAACAAGTTTGTTAGTACAAATAAGGGTTAATGGTAGCTCACCTGAATTCCATATAACTTGGAATGCCAAACTCGCGACCACGCTGCATGTTAAAGGACACCAAGTCCATTCCGAATTTTGCTCCCACTTTTTTGAACAGATGATTCGTCACCTTTAGAAGACAAATTGTTTAGTATAGCATAATTGTGTATTTTCTTTGCGTTAATAATTATCTTACTTCTTGTGTTATGGAATCGTCCATAGCTTGCGCAACTTGATTCATCAAGCCCATGAAATATTCGTCGAATACGCCGGCGCGATACAAATCGTAAGGTCGTCTTATTAAGTCTGACAGTCTCTTCGAAGCTAAAGACAAATATTTGCAATTAAATTTGAAGGAAAATCTGTTGAAAAATTTAGTGAAAAATTTACGGTTAAATAAAAAGCTGATTAAAATTTATTTTATTATCAATAATATTGAATAAATACTTTGATAATCAGTTGAATTTCTATTAAAGTCTATTTTTGAAAATAATTAATAAATGTTGTTTCAACTTTGGAATTGTTATTTTTATTTTGACTCTTAAATGCAAAATTGTTTTAATTGGTATTTAACGGAAATAACTATAATTAAATCTTTAGTTTTTCCACTGGTTCTATTCTCCTATTAGTTCTGTTCTAAGAATACATGCATTTCAAAGTCGCTAGATAATTGGTAACTGAGAGAAACGGCTTCTGATACATTTTGTATGCTATGCAATCTTGTTGTGCAATGTCGCTCACCAATAAATTTGTGTGCTTTGCTCCATCGTTCCACAGCCGTTGGCAATAACGAGTGACCAAATCTAAAAGCAGCAGCGGCGAAAGCGTCTATTACACCTGGATTTATGCTCGAGTCGTACCCATTCCAGTAATTCTATGGGAAATTAAATTTTAACGTCAACACGGCTATTACCGGTTATTAATGGCTGTCCGATGGAAGCGAAGTAAAGATATATGTCGCTAAATCTCAGCCTCACGTTTATCAGAGAAATTTTTATTTTCTATAACTACATAAATGTCTACTGAAGATACCGTGAAATCGCCTTTACTTGCAAGACGGCAGATTACGCTTTTACACGCAATTTACGTCCACTCAGGCATTTTTATCACATTTGTTTCAGAATCGTCAATCCCGCTTACCTCCTTCTCGAGAAGAAGTCCGAATTTCTCCATGACATCTTTGCCGAGTAATATCGGGAGGAACTCGTTATAAGTAATGTGTTGAATTTCCGCGATGACGATGCGCCTAGCTTCCTGGAAGAGAATCTCATCGTCCCAATGCGGATTCACGACAGCCAGCGCTTTGGCGAGACGATTATGCTCCCGTGCCATCAAAGTGTGCATGCAAGTAAGTACCAGCTGTTCATTCACACGAATCTCACCTGAAAGTATAAATACAGAGATGACCGATACAATATTAATTCTACTTGGAATGTTGAAAAAGTCATGTTACGATTAATTCTCGCGATCGAAGATAGCGAACTCGCGATACTTTCACAAAGAACCAGATAATTCTTTGGTTCCGCTGCATAATGTATTTTTGCATTGTGACAATAACTCATTCTATCCTACAATGAACACATGAATTACGATGTTTCTCAACCATGTCATAAGATACTAATTTATTGATCTGTTATCTGAAATCTAATCTGAATTTTAATTATTAATTCAGATCATGTGACTAAAGATGATTGAATGATAAAATTTCTAAGTATAATAATTTTATTGTTAAGAAATATTGTCGCATTTTTTCTTATTAATTACAATGGAAACAAGGAATTTCCATTTTTTATAATATCTCTTATCTATCTTTTTCGTATGTTGAACGAATTCAAATTATACAAGACAAATAAATTTAAATTTCTCGTTTGCTAAGTGCTAAGTGCAATTGCTTTTATTTTATAACAGGAATTTTATATAATACTTGAAATTTTTTATTTTGAAAGAAAATTATATCGAATTTTGCAGAAAATTAATAATAATAAGTAATTAGAAAAGAAAATTCTATTCTATCTAATCTTAAATTCCATTTTATCACATAATAAATCTAATAATTCTGCTTTGATAAAATAAAAATGATAAAAGCAATAAACACGGTCTGACTTAATACGAATGCATACGCAAATTTAGACAATTTTACAGATTGCTGCATAAACTATCGCACACACTCAGATAAAATGCAAGTATCATAGCGTATCATAGTGTGTGATTTTTTAAGTGTTCTTACGACTTTGTAAAAGTCGACGTCCTTGCGTCGCAACCACTCCCTTTCTCACTTTCTCACCCACATCGTATCGCTTAGCGTGCTGATAATCGTGCAGCACATGATGCCTACCAGTTAAGCGAACGTTAATTACCACGTCATCCAAAATTCCGAAAAACTCAAATATTGACAGCCAATTTCATGTAGCGATTGATTTTTTCGCAATATGTGGTTAACATTTTAATATAAGGTACGAGTGACGCCGCGCCAAAAGTTAACACGATTGATGTGAGAGAAATTTGTGGTTTAGCATGAGCATTTTTGCAGACGCGTTCTTAAGGCCATTAAAGCTTCGGTGCAAGGTGTAAATAAAATAAAACAGTCGAATCACTTCTTTCCGAGTTGCTAGTTGATCATTAGATTTTGTTCCTCTCTTGTTCTCCCACAGTTTTCGGTTCCCAAGTATTGCGAGTATTTTCATACAAAAATATTTCAGTGCCACATTTAAAATGTGTTATTCCCTTATAATTTTTTATTAAAAAAAATCATAAAAATTTATAAATGTTCACCACGCAGGGGCCCACGGATCTCGGGGCCCGTCGGTGCATCGCACCGATTGCACCGACGTTAAATACGCCCCTGCATTTTTGTCTCCGAGTCCGGGTATCTATGATTTATGAAATCGAAGCGCGTTACGTGCATACAATTATCGATGCGATGGAATTGCTCCGTCTTACGAAACTTGTGATTGGATTCGTTGTGAGTAATGCTGCCGTATCATTTTCCGGTTGATCGAAGGATCGACGTGAGAAAATGATTTCTGGGTGGTCGAATTAAAACGTGGGTGGTGGTCAAAATCACGGGGCAGTTTCGATCATGGCTGTCCCGAGAGAACGATACATAAGTGGTAAGCGGCGCCGCAAGAAGGCGGTAACGAGCGTGACTTACTGCTCCATTGTCTTGTATCATCAGAAGCAGAAAAATCCGCAGAAATTAGAATAGCTAGATTAGCACGTCTGACTCATGCATCGTACGCTCATTGTGTATTCAAATGAGTACATTCCGGCTAATAACCCGCGCTCTGTATTGCGTTTTGAAGTTACGTTTACCAGTTTGCGAAAGTCAGTCTGTTAAAGCAATAGCAAAACGATAGCAAAACTTGTTAAAAAATATTGAGAAATTTTATAACATAATATTCTATATAAATTAAATTTTTTACCGCACATTCTAATAAATTTGGAATAAATTCTTTTTTGAGTAAATATATTATTAAAGAAATAATTTTTAACAATAAATATATTAACGATTGAATTTAAAATTCTTGATAACGATTTTTTAGTATGCGGTTAAAAAAATTCTCGGGGACATTTTACATATTTTTATTCGTAAAAAAAGAATAAGTTACCGGCTTCGAAGCAATACATCGATCGATTCGGCCGAGTGCATCCTTCGTCCGGTATATCCAATTTTAGCGGTAGTAGATCCTTAAGACCATATTCTGAGAAGACTGGATTCATCCGCAACAATCCACCATAGTTCATTCGAAGCTTTCTGAAATGCAAAATAAAAATATATCGTAAAGTTTGTAGATCGCATTATTAGAAAATGCCAAGACCCGTTTAAGTACACGTCTGCGTATCGAACAATATAGCACAACGTAATATTGATTTATTGTCGTCGGTGACGTAACAGACAGATACGTCTATACTGTTTAGAAACGAAATGTGGTTCGCCGAATGCATATGCAGGGATCCAAAACCGGCTTACTAACCTCCAGAGAATAACTGATGATTAATGCATTTTCCTTTGCTACCGTGTTACTTTTATACCTTATGATAAAGTATTATACGCATAATATAATCATCAAATTTTTATCAATATTGAGATCAATTTGCAACTTATTTTAAACGATGAATGTAGAATATGCTATATCCGTGCTTAAAGCGTAGCGTAGAAAAATTTGCAATTGCTGATCACGTCAAATTGATTAATAAACCACTTCGTTTTCTATTTTTCTTTCTTGATATAACATAAATTTTTCATTGTTGCATATATGCACATTGTGCGTGAACTCGCACAACTACGATTTATATATTTTTTGTGGATATCAATTAGATTGATATTTCGCGTAAATACTTGGAAATAATCTGCTTTATATTATTATATCCGAGTTGAAAGGAAATCGTTGTAATTTACCTAGCGAACGTTTCCGTGATGCCGTAAACCGTATTACCGTCTAGCACACCCGTAAGAAGATTAAAAGGCACTCGGGAACCGAGACGGCAACCGGGTCGAACTGCAGGAAAAGCGCGAACGAAATCCATACACTGCACGTTGAATAGTCTGTAGAAGTAGTCATCCTCCGGTATGAGGATCTCGTTGCAATAAGGGTTCTTCAGGTGTGGCGGCCGGGAACAGCATTCTTCCGGGTCGTTTCGGTTCAAGGGATCTGCGAACGCGATGATCGATACATAATGATAGCAGAAAGCGATAGTGTTTCTATCACGCACATTTCATATTCCACACGCGGCGTACACGCGGAGTATCGGTATTCTCGATTGAATGGAACATTATTCGAATAACTATCTTTCTCAGGTGCCGCAATCTCGAGCGTGTAAGTTGAAGGAAAATCGGCATCGTCTATTAATTATCCTTTCCTAAACACATACGCGTGGGATCGGCTGACGAGAGGCGTGTAACAAGGTTGCATTCTCTTTTCCGAGAACAGTCTAATAATTGGCGTGGCGTGTCGCAGCTATTTCTCATGGCGATTACGAGCTTTGCGACTCGCCAATTCTGATTGACAGATTCGCGGCGAGTGATCTCGGGCCGAAGAGCGCTGCTCGGAAACGTCACGGACGGACACGTAATTGGTTTATCCGAGCGACGATCGTTTGCTTTCTCTCGTAGCTATCCTTCTTTCGATATGGTAAATAATCGACGTAGAAGAACCACACTAGCGAGAGCGTTTACGATGCGCGCGCGAGAGTATCAAATATCTCGATACAGTTGCTTTGACGCAACTTGTGCAATCCGTCCGCCGACGTTTGTGGCTCGCTTTCTAATTTCTATTCTAGTTGCATGATTGAATAGCCGGACTTTAATCATTATAAATCATTGATCGGTCCGGCAACAAAGACTTCATTCAAACTTTTTGTTATTGTTTTCTCTTTTGCCCTTTTCAGTAATTGATTTCTTTATCTTCTCTAATTCATTATTCATATATTTCTTCTAAGAAAAATATATAACCTCCCATTTATTTTCGTTTTTATAGTGCTGCATATCACTACGTGAAATGTGTAAAATTCAAGTTTCTGTATATCGAGTTGTTCAGTTATATCGCATTAATGAGATTAATATCGAGATATTCTTATTATATATAATCAAAATAGATTGTATTGCGCGAACGTCAAAATTATCAACAATAGAAGAATCCTTCGCAAACACGTTTAAAATCACGACTTAGAATGTAAAGTACCTAGAGGCGTGGCGGTCAGGGTATAATCGTGGTCCATGAACTGTCCCCATGCAATCACCATAACTGTACCAGCGTGATCGTGGTAACCTTCGTCCGGGTGCATGGTGCGCGACACGATTCGTGATAATGGTAGATCACGACCCGTTACAGATATTCTTGGCGCCGATAGACCGTCCGCGAATCGAGGGGTTATCAATCTACAAGGGATAAAAAGGAAGTTTTCAGGACGGTTTTTTCGCGTCGTGTCTTTCGTATTGGGGAAAACTTGTGAAAAAACGGAAAAATCACGGGTTACCTTGTGAAAGGCGACAAAGTGGCTCCCCATGTTGGATTATGCAAATTCGTGCAGAGACCATCGTACCGCCGATACTTGCCCGCTCTGCATTCCACGTTGCTCAGGAAGGCGGGACAGACATCGCGAATCAGCGTCTTCGAGGTGTCGATCAGCGGCAGACTCTTGTCGACCTCGTCGTAAGTCAGTTCATATCTGAATTCGCACCGATGATTAGAAAGTAAAATCAGGAAGAGGTAAAACCGCGATAGGATCCTAGGCAGGAAAGTTTGTCGGGAGAGATTGCGCGTAGGGAGACTTACGTTTGCGCGAGATTCGCGGTGATGTCGAGAAGCAGCTCGCCGATCGTCGCCAGGTCCTCCGGTCGCCACATCTCCGACTTTGGCTGCGCGACGTCTACGAGCGGTTACGTGTGAGTTACAAAACGTGAATGGCACGGGGAACAAGATATATAGCGGTGCGTAAAGAGCGGTGCGTAACGTTTAAACGAACGTTTGGTTACGCGAACGATGCACCGTGTTGATCATAATTGACGATAAATTATACAGATAGCGCGTAATCGATATTTAAAAAATGAAATTTAATACTCACTGATGCGCTTCCTCGCCTCGATGTAAGCATGATTTACGGCGTCGTACGTGATGCAGGTTTGAGTCCCTCCCGTGGTGGGGCTGCGGGCAGCGAAAGAACAAGGATGAAAGTTAATGCATGCTCGATCTTTGAGTGCGAGTATTATTTACAGCCCCATTCTCTCCCTTCTTCGACACCACCTGAGTTAATTACCTAACCGTTGCAGCCTACTTTCGTGAGAAGCCGACTCGAAAGCGCGAGACGTGGATTTACTCGCGTGAACACGCGTAACGCACATGGACAGACAAACATGCATCCACGTGCGCAGATATTTTATGTCAGAGTAATCCGAAACTATATCTTACGCGTGCTCTTTTATGAACGCGTGTGAATAGACTTTCATATCCTGTTTTCGCCGCGAAATATAATGGCATTGACACGCGGTTCGCGGCTGCTGTCGACGAAGGTTGATCCCTAATCTTGCGCGTTTTTCTCATCGCATTGATATTTTGATCCGCAGCTTCCGCCTTTGGTTCTTCTGTTTTCGTATTGATTACGAATCAATCGTTCAGTATCCGCATATTAGAATATCCATTTTCTACAAAATTAATATTTACTTTGAAGATGATAAAAATTTTGTTTTTAAATTATATGAACTTTAATGAGATATGGATATATCGATAAGTATATCAATTTTAACAAATTCTTTGAAATTTAATTTACATCAGAATTGCAAAATAAATGATTCGTATAATTTCGGTATCATTAGATGTTATTGTTTTTATCACGTACGTCTACGTAAAATTGTGACATGTCCACTCAGGTATCCTTTCAAAACGAGAACTGTACAATTATACTTCACACAACGTTCACTGATCGCAGTACTTAGCATAACGGGCTCGTTCAATTTATTTAAAGTTTCGACTCGCGGGAAAAAAGTCGTTCAAGTTTATTCGAACGACTGGTAGAAATGTTCTGAAAATCTCCGAGCAAAACGTGAATTACCAGTGGAGTGTTTAAAGTACAAAATCGGGAAGATGAGAGAGGCTGCTTCCTGCGTCTAATTGCAGTCGAGTGTCTCAATCACTTACGCCGCAATCGCGATGTAATAATAACGAAAGCGCTCTATAATGGTGTCGTGCATTGAGGCGCTTACCATAACTGGTCCGAGTGGACGGCTGTAGCCCATTCTCGCCGCCCGGTGATAAATGTAGATTGCGCCAGCCGGGGAAACTTTTTTTTCTCTTCTTTTAATACACATAAATTGCATTTCAGTGCTCGCGATACTCGTACTTTAGTACATGCCGCGTTTAATAATCGCGCTGTCGCGACCGCGGCACGCGGTATCGGCGGTGCTCGAAAATAATCTGCCCCTTCGCCGCTGCGTGCGTTGTAACTCGTTCGTCTCGTGCATCGCGTTTACCACTGTTTTGCCAGATATTTGCGGTCGCATCATTTCGCGCATCGAATCCGTTCTCCACGATCCTTTCGAAACATTAACGCGAATCGCTTTCACAGTCGACAGCGCGCGCAATTTCGATCTCTCTAAATCGGCCGTATCGTTGCGTCGCGATGCAATTGCGAACTCGGCGTCTCGTTATGTCGTGTCCCCGGGCACCTGCTTGACATTCCGAATGCCTCTATCCGAAGTAGGCGCGTGACATCGCTAATCGGACGGCATTACAACGTCGGCTATTCTAAACGGTCGGTACGGATCACGCGACTTGCGTGTCTAGGCTGCACTATGTTTACTTTTGATTATTGGACCATTACCCGACTAATCATTAAATCCTGATGCGATTCGTGAAACCACAAAGTAACATATAGCATGTTTTTAAAAATTTTGGTAAGTTAGGTGTTTAGAATTATAATTTATTTATATTTATAATTATATAGAGTTTCTAGAAGATCAAGTAATAATTAAAATTTTAATGATTATTTTAATAATATTGAAAATAGTAGGCTAAAATAAGAATATGAATATTTTTTCAACTTTAAAATAAACTGAATACATATGAGATGTACAAATGCAAAGGTCACACGTTTACATCTATAAATCCATTTGGTGGCAAATATGTCATTAATAATCTTATTGAGAGAACAATATTTATCAAAGAGTCTGCAAAAATCCTTCTAAGTATTTTTTAAGCCACTGTACAAAGAATCGTATCTTTAATGACGTTATTATGACGAGGATTGAGTTCTTAATAACGCAATTACGACGAAGATTGAGTTTTTAATAATGCAACACGTGTCGCTATGTTGTTACGGAACACTCGTCAATGATCTGTGTAGAATTAAGGACGGCGATAATATACTCGGCGTGTAGTTCTAATTGGTTCTCTCCTCGCTGCAGCGAGGCCGTTACCACGCGTTTCGGTCATCACATCTTTGGCAATCTACTTTAAAGCGATTTTATCGTACATCGACCCCTCTTGTATTTCATTAGCGGCGCGCCTCAAAAGGCCTCAATTAGCGATGGTAAGATTCCCGTGCATACGCGAATTTAATCGCATTTGTGTGCGATTAGCAACCAGTCACTGCCGTTCTGTCCGTACTTTCGGATACGCGAACTACTGCGTTTATAGGTAGGTCGAGTCTCGCAATTGCCGCAAAAACCGCGTTATGATCTTACGCGCGATCTCAGCAGAAGTACATTCACTATTACGTGAACGCGAGAGATGAGGTTGGCTTCTCGGTTTCGGCTATCAAACGTGAGGATTTCCTCTTTTCTCAATTCTTTTATGCAGTAAAAAATTCGCGACCGTAACCGCATTCTCCGGCGAACGCGGTTGTTAAAGAACGGGTTGTTATGGGGGTTCGGTTATGGGGGCACACGAACGAGAACCGCGATCATCTCGTCAGTTCAGCAGTGCGAAGGAACGGCAGTTAATCACGGGTTTCAGCACGCAGGAGGCGCCTGAACGCAAAGATTATAGCTGTCGTTCCGCGCTGTAAATATACGATTCTCTACACGGGGCGATGAATGAGACAGAAGGTGGTTTACTGCAACGTGGTAATGCGCGCCGTTACTCTCGTTACATGACGCGTATTTACGGCTCAATACTGCAAACGCAATTCCGTCCGCTAGCGGGCGCTGCTAAAAGTCCGAGAGGTGAGAAGAATTTTTACGTTTGTCACAAATCGCCGGTCTAGCCGATCTTACGTGGGCATGCGGAACGGTATGCATCGAATACATCCGCGTAGAATGTATGCGTGATTGCACGTAGAACCGGTAAGGTCGCAGTTGGAATCCGCTAGTCCTGCGGGAACAGGATGATAGTGAAAGTCCTGGCTGCGCGGCTAAAGTTCCCGCTTTCTCCAATCCTCTAGAATGCCAGGCTAGGACTTACTTTATTACGTAAGCGCGCACCGCACTTCGGTGCAGTTGGTAAACGCGACTCATAATGAGACGATAATTGTGCATTTCCTAGTTTATTACAATGTAACCTAGGATACATGTCTAGCCGATACGACGATTTTGTTTGCTTTTATTGATATTTTCTTAATCGAGTAGTACGATAAAAAGCAATCCCGCTTAAGTAATGATTAGCGACTATCAATAACCACATATAATAGGTAATTAAATTTCTAATGTGTTGATAGAATGACAAACACTCGTACAGAAAAACTATCTTAAATCAATTGCACTTTTTTTTAACCATAGATTAAATAAAGATCCAATAAGTTTTATCTTTGATAAATTTTTGTCTTTTTTTTAAATTCAAATTTTGTTCTATACTTACGTTTCATTTTCATTAAAAAAAAAAAAACATTCATTATTAGATTATTCTTATATTTTCTATATTATTTAAGAATTTAAAGGCAAACTTCAAAATTTATTGAATTAATTAATTAAGTAATATTAAGAAGTGGTTAATTTTCTATGAGAGAAGCAAGTGTAGTGTCCTATAGAGTTCACTAGTTGACTATAAGTAGCATAGAAAGCATAGTAGAATGTGCAGATTCGCAGGTGCAGATTTTACTTTACGGAAATTTACTTCAGTTATTTCGGAGAAACACGTCCAACGTCTGCCTTTGCATTTGCTTTCGGTAAATTAAGATCGCTATCTTTGTGCGCGTTCATATTCGGCCTTAATGCGGGTACTTACAACGATCCGCGAAGTAAATTATAGGTATAGTCGTAAACGCTGGTTCTTCCATGACCGTCCAGGATCAAGGCACACTCCTCTCCGTTTACATAAGAGTCGAGAGGTTGATACTGCAACCCGCCGTTGCAGTGCACCGTTACCAACAGCAGCAGTAATCCGATTATCGCGGATCGCATCCGCGTTATCACGAATCTGCAACATTCCGGTACAAACGATTATCTCTCTCACGTCGAAGAATATCGCGGCGCATTCGAGGAAAAGGCCGCTCACCTTGATATTGTCTTAAATCACGATAATCGTGTAGACCTCGCGCTTATTATTTTATATTTTATATTTGGTTGATTAGAAATCTGCTCGTAAATGAAAGATAACAGTACTATTATATTGAAATTGTAAAAGCGTTCTTTACCTAGAAATTTTTTCTATTTTGTATAACGCTGTTATAAAAATTGTTACAATAATACTGAATATGGGAAGCGAATGCAAAGTTAGCGGACGGGATCACGCTTCATATCACTGATGCAATCGTTAATTGAAGTAGTTAATTACATATTAAGCTTCAACGCTTTCCGCATATCTTCTGCAGAGTTAATGTAACATTCATTCACGATTTCGTGTTACGTTTACGTTACATTTACGTTACGTTTACGTTTTTAATTGAAATTAGTAGAGGAAGACAGGATGATAAAAATATTACGATTATTGTTAGAAAAATTAGAAATGTAACTATATCTATGAAATAGGTATTAGTAAAAATATTTGTGATGTATTATCCTTTGCCTTATTAGCATAATTATATTTTCTAATTACGATATAATTACGGTATAGCGAATATTGGTAACTATTACTAATGCATGCGAATAATTAGGACATTCGCTCCGATATCTGTTGGAACGATGATTAGATACCAGATTAATGTGTCCATTTGTGTTCGTGTTGCCGGCCAGGTTGCCTTGCAAGCCTGGATGGAATTGCAATCTTGGCATAAAAGCAATACGATTGTCAAATGTGTGATATGATCAGATATATTTCCGATGTAGTTCATAATAGATTATGAATTATTGAAAACACTCTTTTATTTTATCGTTTTATTATATAAAATGATAAAAATTTATAAGGAAAAATATACTTATTGTTCAAGGAAAGTACTTTATTATATTTAAAATAATCTTTTGATAGAATTTAAACGCAATTACGCAATCCAACATGAAAAAAATAATTTAAAAAACAATTTTTTATAACAATTACATTCCTTTCGGGGAAAGTTAGTTTTAGTTAGCACATCATAGTAGATCACACAAAATGCAGCGATAGTTCATCAAGATAGATTTCTTGAACTCCCTGGGCGCTTTCTTGCGTGATAATATCTTTTGCACCGTGCGTTCTTATTTAAACATGCTGTATTCAGTACATGCTGAGACATAGTGGAGAAACCGAGTTGTAATAGTCGAAATTATTCCGTAATCGTTATTTATTCTCACCCTGGTACAAAAGAGCGGATTACTTCTATCCGTCCATGAAAAGTCTGTTCTACATTTTATATTCTCATGCTCTGCAATGCGTCTGTATGATGTGTGCAACTGACAATTATCTGATAATGAATATATTTCATGTACATATATTTGTACATGTTCTTACTAATAACCATTGTGCTGGATCGCGCTATTTTGTGTCAGTTTTGCAAAAAAAGTTTTTTTTTTTTTCTAATTTGTTTGATAAATTATTTTTATAACTTATATATTTTTGTATCTTATACATTGCATTTTTGGACATTAATTGCAAATATTGAGTATTTGTATTCACTTTAGATGATTTGAGAAAATTATATTTCGAAAATTTTTAATACACATATTAAAAAAGAAAGAATAAAAATAGGATGCGAGAGAATAAAATTGTTATACATATATAGCATTAAGGTGGGTTTCCATCACCTTGAACTCTTTAGTAAAGTATATTTCAAGATTAATTACTGTGCTGTGTATCTGCGCTCCATTCACCGCCGCTTGTCGTTAAAATTACGTTAATTTGCGGTCCAAATTGGCGCGTTTGAAACGTCTGACAGGTATTCGCGTTCGCCTTGTAGTTTGCTGACGAAGAAAGTGCCTTTCGTTCCACATAATGATTAGATAAGAGCCGATTGACGCTTAAAGCGATCCGGATTCTCTTTTTTTTCTGAACATCTCGAACATTTCGCACGCGGCTCACAAATGCAACGTAACCTGGTAAACCGGTCCTTGTGTATTCGTAATCTTAGATCGTAACAGTTAATCAATCGGCTTCAATAAGAACTTGCATCTTTGGCGTGCACCTGTCACAATTTGTCGACACGGTGTTTTTACTTGAGATATTGATAAAATTTCTGTTTACAATAATGATTTTTTACACACTTGCTATAACAATTTATACGAATTAAGGTATATTTTTGTTTATTTGCCTTCTTGTTGCCTACAGTCACAAAGCATATATCGTGATACTTTAAAATGAATATACGCATTATCTCAACATAATTCTAATTAGATATAGAATTAATAATTTAAATATATAATTTATCGATGATGTTGAAATTTCATATACTTTATGATAACTAAGTTTTTATTTGAAAATAATACATATTTCTATATTGTATTTAATATAAAATGACAATCCATTAATTTTTTATGGCTTTGAGAGTAAATACTTTATGAAATCAAAAGATTGGAAAAATTGCTTTCGTGATCATTGAATGCATCATGGCTCATTGGCCATGTGCTACACTAATTTATTGTTCATTGACTTCTTACGGAAACATCAATCTTACCCGGATGAATTACGTGAATTCGAATTGATAGTTTGTACGTAATCGCGTGAAATCCGATCGGAGAGCGTGCGAAACAGTGGTCAGAAAGCGCACGAAAAGTGAAAATCCGTCAAAAAATCAGCCACGAAACATTGTAAAAAATGTTTCCCTGTTATATAACATTTTTTTGTATATAAAAATATATATATATTGTATTCATTAATCATAATTCTCTGAAGAATGTTTGAAGTACAAACAAATACATGTAAGTGCTTGCATAAATAATCTTCCTTTTAAAAACGGATACGCATTAATTTCTTTTTAATGGCAAACGAGCTACATTATTAAATTTAATTACTTGCATGCGGTTTCTGTTACATGGGCATAAGAAAATTATAGGTATTGTACGCGCGCATACTTATATCGAGTTTAATTTATTTTCAATGTAATAATTATTATATATATAGCAAAATTAAATATATTGAATCGATTGCTAATAAAAGCAATATTTAAAAAATATTATCTATATATTTTTTTAATTAGTCAATTAATTTATTTAAATAAAAATGGAGCATATCATAATAAATTTAATTTATTGTATAATATTTGACATTACTTACTTAAAACGATGAAAATAAATGATATCGCTTACTTCAAGATTTAAGCGATATATTGTGCAACTGGTTAGGTTAACAAATTGATATCATTTGAAATAACGTGTCGAAAGATCGTAATGAGAGCTTTCGCTACATGCCTCACTAATCAACTGCCCATCATCTCCGATTACATGATGCTGCAGCGTCACGGTTAAATACAATAATCGTCATTAAGTAGGTGGACAGTGATCGACCGACTCGAATATCTGTAAGGTCCAGTCCTGTATTTTATTAAACAATTAGAAATCAAATGATTTGCCAGCTTACATCGGTGAAAGGATTCGAAAGCGGGTAAAAGTATGAGATTTGCGAGATCGATTTTGAATTATGAAACATCCATCTGATCTTTATTCAGCGCCCAAAGCTTCTGCTTGATATCACTGTCGTCTTACATAGTAATATATTTCCTCAAAATACATCGTGTAATAAATGACGGAGAAAGAATCTGACCGATCAAAAATAAGCACAAATTACTTTCGCGGTGCATCGCGCAGATTCTCCTTTCACCACGCATCCAATATTCACATTCTTAGTGCCGTCAGCGCGTATGATGATGATAGACACGAAAAAAGTCGCATACACTTTCTGCGAGACTTCGCCTCATTTGCACGCCCCGACCCGGTTCTCATAATTACTCGATCATTTTTTTCGTCTTTCTCGAGAAGCCTCAAACTTTTCTTTCTCACGTTCAAGATGTTTTGAGAGATTAGAAAATCTGATAGAGAATGATGACAGTGATTTATTAGTTATTATATGTGCCGCGAAAACGTTATTTTCAATAAAAGCAAAACGTATCAAAAATCCAACCTTGAAAAGGTCTGAAAATCTAAAAAATATATATTTATCAATTATATATATTTTTTTAAATTTGGTTTCATTTATTAGAATCAAAAAGAATCAAGAACCAACTTCTCTAAACACTGTCACATTACTCTCTCTTTTAGTTTATGATGCATATGATACCAAAGATAAGAGATTAGTTATGCTCAACTTCGACAGTCGTGACATTGTAATGTATATCCTTGAGCCACTTATTTCAGAAGGCAAAAAAGTATAACGTATATTAAGATGAAATTAAAAAATATTTCATAATTTTTATGTAAGGTATTTAATTATACGTTGCACTTTGTATAAAGTAACAGTATCTTACTATGTAGCTTTGCGCGGTAAAAACTTACTACATAGTAAACTGGTTTTTTCCCCTTATTTTAACGCAATATATGACCTAGTTCGCACTTGTAATATTTTTAATATAAATTAATTCTCTAGCAGTTTTTAATGTTTATTTAAGCATATATTGGATTAATCAGAAAGTTTCTTCAGATTTTCACATTTAATTTTTATCGTAAAATTTGAAAGAACTTTCTAATCAATTCAATAAAATTAACATAACCTGATCAACTTAATTAATACAAATACAAATAAGTCTTGATTTATGATAACTTAGCGCGCAATACTTGCCGATCGCATAGAAAATTCCTTATTCCGCGCTTCAGTTACATCACACTCACCGGTCATACATTCTTCCACCACGCGCTCCACGTTGCTGAGAGTTCGCGATGATCTATAATCGATGAGAAATGACGATAGGATTGTCGTCGGGGGGTTGGTATTGTCAATTGGCACGCGAACTTCGGTGCACTTTTTCAACACATGCGATACGAAAATCTCGACGAGCAAAAAATCAAGCAACGAACAATCGGGCAAAACGGTGCCGGCGATATTTCTGTCGGCGAATGTCTTTGCACGCGCTCGGGAAA